ACTTTTTTTTAACCCACATATGTCATAAAACTTGAGAGTGATTTTGCAGATGAAGTACATTGAAAGTATATTTGACCAATTTGCCCTTAGAAGTTTTTGACGTGCAAAATTGGAATAAATTGACTAATTTGCCCTTAGAAGTTTTGTTAAATCTAAGGTTGTTCTTTCACCCAAACATGTCATAAAACTTGAGAGTGTTTTTGCAGATGAAGTATATTGACCGATTTGCCCTTAGAAGTTTTTGACTTGCAAAATTAGAATAAATTAACCAATTTGCCCTTGGAAGTTTTGTTAAATTTAAGGTTTTTCTTTAATCCAAACATGTCATAAAACTTGAGACTAATTTTGCAGATGGATTCTTCTGAGAATTGGGAGCAAACAACTTTCACTTTAAGGAGATCGAATTATCAAGTAAAGATTAATCGAACACAAGAGATTTTCATCCAAGGCAAATATACCAATGATGTATCGGTATGTAAAATAAATATATTTTTCATTTTTTTTTAATTTAGTTTAAAGATGTATTTTAATATTTGACTTTCTAAATATATTTGGCTTCTACTTTCTATCCCAAGCAAATCATCGTTTCTTGAAAGGAAATTGAACAAGCGATTTTGAACAAAATATGTTCAAAATGTAATGTAATGGCCTAAAAAGTAGATACCTTCTTAACTTTTTGTCAAATGTCCAAAATACCCTTCAACAATGAGAAAAGTTGGGGAATCTTTGATCTTTTGTAATGATTATGGTGTATGAATAGGTAAATTTTAACTTGGAAAGTTTCCAAAAATAAAAATGTGTGATCCACTCTTGATCTTTGGTCTGTGCAAAAGACGTAAATGCCCCTGTCATCCATTATCATCGAAAATAGCCCTAGAAAGCTTGAGATTTTGCAGATTGTTTATAATTTTAATAAATTGTCATATCTCTCTCTCTCTTTCTCTTATAATGATTTTGCAGATAAAGATTCCTTCAGGGCTTACTACACAATTTGTGTTGACATATTCGGATGGATCTTCACACCCTTTTAATACTTTCCATGATGTTAGGTAAAATATTCTAACTTTATGTTCTTATTTTACTTGGTGTTATTTTCTTATTTCAAACAAAGAGATGCTACTCTTTGACTTTTCAGGTCAAACAAACTTCTTTTCAGATTCAAAATTGTTGTTGTCTATTTTTTTTTAAAAATTATTTATTTTTTAATGGCAGAATTAATGCCTACACTAATACATTTTGACCTCAAAAGTCGAAATGTACAACCTTTTCGCTTCAACTTTAATACTTGGCCTTGATATTCAACAATTTATTGAGGGCTTTGGTTTATGTATCAATTGTCAACAAGATATCACTGTATTGTATTTTCTTTTTTGGGATAAATGTAAGAAATAATAACATACTTACATTTATTTTTGTATTATCACATCCTACTTTCATTTCTTTATGATATAACGTTATACTTTCAGTTTATATTTTATTAAGTATTGTACTTTGAAAAACGCTTTGTATTTAGATGACATTGCTATATTGGGTAGATTTTTTCAAAGTACAAAAGAATAATAGGAATAAAAAAATGAAAGTAAAATGTTATAATTCAAAGAATCAATAAAAGTACATTGCTATTTCTTGGATTTAACTCTTCTTATTTTTGTAGAATGCGCGATACATTGGTGCTCACCATGAGAATGTTCCAAAGCAAGGTATCTTTCAAGTCCTTAACATTCTAAATTGTTTACCAATTTCATTTATTGACAATTTTTATAAGGTTTTATATTGCCTTTCCAAAAAGGGAAATTTCTTTTTGAACACATTTCTTTCTTTTTTCTGAAATAGGCATTGGATGAAAGAAGGAATGCAAGAGCATGAAACTTTTATTCTTCGATATAGATACAAGTATTATATAAATATATACTCATTCTTTGTAGAAATGAAGTAAAGAACAATAAGACTATTGTAGAAGGTTTTGTTGTTTAGATTCGAATCAATGAGTGTGAGTGAAAACAAGGGTGTGTTGGTTTACAATGTTCTTATTTCTATTTGGTTTTGACTTTCTGTAAAGAGTCAACGGGCTATTAAGACTCTATACGTCTAAGAAGGTCTTTATAACCCATATATAATATTAATATACGTCAATGTGACGCGAACTAATGAATTACATGATCTATCTTGAAACAAGATCTATACCATACTTAAACTATACTAGGATCTTAGGATCTTGACTAAGATCTAAACTGGATCCGATATCATCTCTTTAGTCTTTATTTAGTCGAGCTTCATATATTCATCCATTCAACATGAAAACAAGCATTATAGGTTGCAACAAGTCTCATAGAGCATTACCATTTCATCTGTTCATCTCGAGTTAAGTAGAGTGTCATCTCGAGTTAAGTAGAGTATCGTGACACTCATGTTATTCCCTTTGTGATCATATGCCTTTAGTTGTACATGGTTATACTGTCTGCTTTAGATTTTTTCTTCCTAATTTTTGCGGCTTTCCACAACAAGAATTATGTTTCATACTTTATAAATTAAAACCATAAACACCTTCTTCAATCTCACCCACCCCAAATCCCAAAGTGTACATACAAAATTAATGGGTATATACACCACCCGTATGTGTCGCCTAACCAACATGATAAATAGTTCATAATGTCTATTATTGAAGAAGATAATGTTCCTATTTGAACATGATTATATCTTCTCACATACTTACAATTACAATGTGTATGAAACACACGGTAGAGTAATAAACTATGAATGATGAAAAATGAACAAAAATCCTTTTCTTTCGATGCCAAACTTAGGACTTGGGATCATAATACGTATGTGATAGAAATGAACTGATATATTTATTTGTTGTGTACATTCTTGATGAATGGGGAGGAGTATTTATACTTTTAGGAAGACTTTTGGTTGTTTCATATATCCGAGTATTGACATTGTCCTTTGGTAGTCACTAATGTTTTTATAAAATAATATATCCCGGGCCTTTTTCCTTGATTTATGGGATATCGTTTTTGTACCCAGAAAGCATTTTATTTTGAGTATGGATTGGGGGTTCCTTTGTAGGTCTGGATGGTAATCTCGGTTTACTTTGCTTGACATGGTTACTAGGTCTTTGGGCTGGATAAGGTTTTTTGCCAACTTGGGGAGTGTATGGATTTACACCATACCCATTAAGCCCCCAAACCAATTGTTTAACGCGAGTTCTATATGGCTTCAATAATTGAGTTTAATTTGCCTAAAAGGTTAGCGAAACGTTGATCTTTGGAGTTGCTACTGGGCTCCAAGAATTGAGTTGCCCAATATGGTGTTTGTTTTTAGAAGACCATAGACTTAAAAAGGTTTGCATGTAGAAGACATTCTTCTAAAAAAAGTCATTTTTTCACGCTTTCTTCCAGATTTTTTTTTCAACCTCTACCATCCCTATCACGAACACCTCCGCCACCTTCACCATCTCTGCCTTAGCCACCTCATCCATCATCATCATATTCGCCACCACCACCACCACAACTTTTGCCAACACCGCCCCTTGCCACCTCCTCCACCATTATCACCGCGACCATTGTTGCCATCTATGACACCACCACCAACTCTCCTACCTCCACCACCATCACCCACGCCACTACAATCACCACTACCACCACTACCTTTGCTACCTCAACCACCACCACCACCTCACCATACCACTGTCATCACCATCTACCACCACAACCATCTTCTTTAACTATCCTATAGAGATCAATGTGGTTAATGTGTGTATGTATATATGATTTGTTTGTTTTATCATTTCTGATCAATGTGGTTTAATATCATTTATATAATGTGCAAACTTTAAAAAACAAACAATTTTTTTACGGACTAAAGACGTTTTCCATATTTTCTTCTATATATGATTTATGAACTCCAAACATTTACCTTTGCAAAACAAACACCTTAATGTTTAAATGAATGCAATGTAGAACTAGATCTAGACAACTATATTTATTTTAGATCTCTATAAAGTCAACTTAATCGACCATCTTAATAGTTTTCAATTCATCATTTTGTTTATTTATTATTTCACAATATATAGAATATCCATCAATAATCTAGTAGGTACCCACCATTGATTTGTTTATGAATAATTGCAAGTTGACAAATAAACCAACCAAAAGTTTTCTCATGAATAAGAAAATTGACATATGTTGCAAAAGCATTATACAGTATATTTTCGTTTATAAGTTTATACTTGCTAAAATATTTCAACAATGACAGAAAAAGCAATTATATACATGTTTCAACAATAACCATGTATGAAAATACGTTAAAATGATATTGATATTGAATGATGAATAGGAAACATATAGTGTAACCAGAATATATCAAATTAAACTGACCAAAAAATACAACAAATTGATTTATTATTATTATTATTATGATTTTTTATTTTTTATTTTTAAATTTTTACTGATTTATGATAATATGCATATATTAATAGTACCATTTAATCGTTTGAGACTTGAATATCATACATTCAATCTCTCTCTTCTATTAAAAACATCATAAACTTGCTACTTGTTATTATTATTATTTTTTTTATAATTTATAATTTCTTTTCTACTGTGTAATACATAGGTTATAACCTAGTAACAGAATTGCAACAAAATCTCAAATTACAAGGAGTATTTTTGAATTACACATTCCCCAAAGACGACCCTTACATCTTTATTTTGATAAATAAACACGAAAGAGCATCCAATTTATTATAATTCATTGATTATTATACGTTTCATTCCCACTCTTGCATTTATTTTATGTCTTGCTAATGTAAAATAAACACGTTGCGGCATCATTTGCAGTAGTCAACCATAATATATAATATTCTTTTAACTCTTTAAGCCACGACGTTTCCAAGAAGAATATCCGTTTTGTTTTGTATATATAAACAGAAAAACAAAGTTGCTTCCACCATAACCATACATAATCACCAATATCAAAAAGAACACTAGCAAAAAACAATGTCTTCTTCAGAAGTAAACCTAGAAAAGTATCGAATTCCACTTGAGGAGATCATTCACGCAACAAACAACTTCAGTTTCGATACTCTGATTGGAGATGGTGGATTCGGTATGGTCTACAAAGGCCAACTCTCTAAACACTCGCAAAACCACATAGTAGCCATCAAACGTCTTAATCAAGATGGTTATCAAGGAAACAACGAGTTTCTTCATGAACTCAAAATGGTTTCAAGTTTCCATCATCCAAACATCATCTCTTTTATCGGTTACTATAATGATGCTAATGAGATGATCTTAGTTTATGAGTATGCTGTAAACGGAAGCCTTGATCATCACCTCCAAAACCCTAATAAGAGACGTTGCATGACATGGGCACAACGCATGAAGATTTGCTTAGGAGTAGCAAGAGGAATCAAGTATCTTCACTCGGGTCTTGGGGAACACATGAGAGTAATACATAGAGACATGAAGAGTGCAAATATATTACTAGATGAAAATCTTGATGCAAAAATTTGTGATTTTGGTTTGTCAAGATTTGGTCCAAGAAACCAACCAGATTCCGAAGTACTCCTTACAAAGGCTTCGGGTTTATAATGAAAGAGGTAGATTGTGGAAAGAGTCTGATGTGTATTCGTTTGGAGTGGTATTGTTTGAGATGTCGAGTGGGATGCTTGCTTATGCAAAGTGCTTTGGAGAAACTAAGGAACAATATTTGATGGATTTAGTACGAAGTTATTATGAAGACGACCAAAAAGATGATGAACTAGAAAAGTTGATTGATCCCATTCTAAAGGGTCATGTTGATATGAGGTCTTTTCGTATGTTTAATGAAATTGCTTATGAGTGTGTTAACTTGAGTTTAAAGGAACGCCCTACTATGGAGAGGATCATTCGGAAGATTGAGCAAGCAATGGATCTTCAAGTAAGTCTTTCATTTTTGATTATTTTAAAGAAAACATAATTTTATAGAATGAATGAAATTATTGTTAGACTATATAATAAGATAAACTTGTTGATTTCATCATGTAATGCGTTAGCATGTGCCACAAGTCAGTGACTAATTAACATCAAGATAACCTAGAATATTATTTTTGTCAGTAACGTTTTTCACGACTTCTTTGACTCCCATATTAATATAATTATTATATATTTAATTTCAATTCAGAGACGAATAGTATATTTTTATGATTCATATTTTTGCTAAAACATTTTTATATATTGGTTTTGTCCTTATTATTTTTGGATTTCATACTTAAGTCTTTCACCAGAAGACTTTTATGTATCAGCAGATTTGTCCCTATATTTTTGTATATTGTCATATTTGATCCTTATATTTTTTGGGTTTCAAACTTTAGCTACAAAAATTTTGTATATTGCCATGTTTGGTCCCTAGAACTTCTTATTTCACTAGGTTTGATCTCCCTCGACCAGGGCCGGTCCAGACAGTGGGCAACCCAGGCGACCGCCCAGGGTCCACCACTATAGGGAGCCCAAAATATATGGGCTATGTAGTGTATATATATATATATATATACCAATTATTACCAAAATGATTTTTAGAGCCTAAAGTTGGTTCAAACCTAAAGTAGTTTAAACGATAAACAATTTGACTTGCTTGTTAATGCTAATTAAACGTGTTTATAGTGAATTATAAATGATATTTATTTATGAATCTTTATTATATTTGTATTTAAAGGATCATTTTTTTCTTTTCGCTCTGGGTTCCATATATGTTTTGATCGGCCCTTCCCTTGGCAAAGGGTAAGATCATCCTAGGTGTTATATAATAGTGAAAATACATATGTGTTGTAGCAATTTATTAAACCAGTATAAACCAAAATAATTAAAAAAAATCAAAGTCTGATAGATGCCTATTTCAACAATTTCATTATCATACAAGGATAATTTTTGTAAGTTTGCTATTACACAAGGGCTATTTCCATAATATCACTATTATGTAAGGATATACTTGTAAATATACTATAAAATATGGATTATTTCTGTAAATTTACTTTTAAATAGATCATTTATGTAATTTTAATTTTCTAAGGAATAATTTTTGTAACTTTGCATAAAAAAAATCATTTTGACCTTCTGAACAATAGTTTCATTATATAATGCCTTTATATTAACAAAATTTATTTAAACCGGCCATGCAACTTTATAACTTTTAATAGATATTAATATTCAATCTTTCATGACATGTTTAATTTATACGAACCACTAAACAATATGGAAATAGAAAAAAGAAATAGTCGTATGAGTAGAAATGAATTTAATTTTTTGCACATAAAAGTCAACACCTATATAAGCAAACTCGGTTTTTTATATTTACAGAACATCTATGCAATTTCTTCAATTACCACAAGAAAGCTAGAAAGTTTTCGAATTCCACTACACGAGATCAACTTGGCAACCGACAACTTCAAAGCACATACATGTATCCAAAGTGGTAAATTTTATGTAGTGTATACTAAACTCTCTGAACAATGGCAAAACCAACAAGTGGCCATCATCCGCATGAACCAAGGAGAACATGAATACTTTCATAATGAGCTCCATATCATTTTGAGTTTCCACCATCAAAACATCATTCCCTTCATTGGTTATTGCGATGAAGGCAATGAAATGATTATAGTTTATGAATACGCTACAAATGGAAGCCTTAATGATCATATCAAAGACCCTAATAAGAGGAGTTCCCTTACATGGGCACAACGGTTGAAGATATGCATAGGGGCAGCAAGAGGACTTGAGTACCTTCACTCGGGTCTTGGGGAGGACAACGATGTTGTACATGGAAATTTCAAGAGTGAAAACGTATTATTAGATAAAAATTTTGAAGCCAAAATTTGTGATTTTCATTTTTCAATACAAGGCCCCATAAATAAGCCAAGTATCCGACACAATAAAAAACCTGTAGATATCGAACTCTACATGAATCCCATATTTGAAGAAAGCATTTTCCATAAAGAAGCGGATGTGTACTCATTGGGTATGATATTGGTTGAAATGTTTAGTGGAAGATTGGTTAATGAGCCTAGTAGCTTGGGAGATGATAAGCCACAATATTTAGGAGATCTATTCATACGCAACTATAGTGAACTCGATAGATTAATTGATCCCCTTATAAGAGATCAAATTGATAGCACTTGTTATGAAGCTTTTACAGAAATTGCATACGAGTGCATAAGCTTCTATGGTTTTGGAGGATGCCCTACGATGGAGACAATTATCGAGATGCTTGAGGCTGCAGCAGATTTTCAAGTAAGTCCTTTTACTTGATTATTTTGTATAATTTTGTTTGCAAACGTAAGGATGGAAATTAGCATGGATTATAAATGAATTTCTTTATTCATGTTTTGTTTCTTCAGGGAATTGAAGTGTAAAAGAATGAAAGCCGATGACTTGTAGCCGATGTTAATACTTAATGATGTTAATGAAGGTTCATGCTTTGTACATGTGTTCCTTATGTTTTCTATAAGAATATATTTCTTATACATAATTGTTTACATTTTGACTTATGTTGCTGGTAAAAAAAAGAAATAAATATACGAAGAAAATCAGGTTTGAACTTGAAAACAAAGATAACTTTGAAGATTTTTAAAAGTTATACAAATCCAAATCTCTTAACACAAATAAAAAACTACAAAAATAAGAACATTAATGAATGCAAATCCACAATGTGTGAATTGTAACACTAGGCTGATTAAGACGACGGGACAACTCTTTCGAGTTTCGAGTGTGTGTGGAACTGTGAGTGAAAAAATGATAGCGTTCTCGCAATCATGAGTTTAATTAATTACCGGCTTCGACAATATTTGCAAAAATAGCTCCTTAACTTTCGGCATTTTTTCACTTTAATATCCCAAGTGCAACGGGATAGAGCTTTATCCCAATTCCCAACATCTAAGTCAGCCTGCTCCATTAATTCTTTAGCCCAAAAACATTTATAACAAGTTACTATTCTTTTATGTTAGCAAGAGGAGACATGGGAAAATAATTTACTAACATGGTATCAGGCCAAATTCTACCCTAGCCGCTTCCCTCCCATTCTTTCTTCTTCCTTAATTCTCCTCTACCATGACTACTGCCTTGGATAAATTGTATGGCATCACCAATATCAAATCGTATGTTCCTATCATTCTTGATCTTGACATGTTAAACTATGATGCCTGGCGCGCGAGTTCTTCAAAAATCATTGCATTGCCTATAACGTTTTTTGCCACCTTGATGGCACCAATCATAAACCCGATGATCAAGATTGGTGTACTGCTGATTCCATTGTCAAACAATGGCTTTATGGTAGTCTTACACAACCTCTTATTCAATCTATTTTGATACCTGATGCAACAACAGCTCAACTTTGGAAGGCTATTGAAGATCTTTTCTGTGACAACAAGGAAGCAAATGCCATTGAACTCGAGAACCAACTGCGGAATATTACTATAGGCGACTCCACTGTCATGGAGTATTACGCATGCATCAAATCCATTTATGATCTCTTAGCTAACATCGGTTCCAAAGTTCCTGAAAGAACCCTAGTTACTTATGCCCTCAACGGGTTATCTTCCAAATTTGACCACATCGCTACTACCATCTGTCACAAGACTCCGTTTCCAATTCTCCTTGAGATGCGTTCGATGTTGTCAATTGAAGAACAGACTTTGCAGAATCAACTCAGCTGAATCCCTCATACATCTCACACAGACTCATCTTCTTCTCATCAGGTTCTGATTTCTAATCACCAGCCACAAACAACCAATTCTGGAAGCAATCGTGGAAATCAACGTGGTCGTGGCCAGAATCGAGGTGGTGGTAGAGGGCGAAATGACGGCAGAGGTCGTGGTGGCCAATGACTTAATGGAGGCGGTGCAATTTCTCAGCACGCAACAGCTAACCCCAACGGTCGCTAGGTCTTTATTCCTGCCGAACAATAGGCTGCTGGGCTGCTCCCTTCTCCCCAGCAAAATCGTTGGCCCAATTCACCACAAGCCCACTCTCGACAGCAGCTTCCTTGGCTCACTCAGCAACCAGCCCACCATGCTCTCCTTGTTGGACCTCCAAATCAGCAACCATTTAATTGGCAGCAGACCCAATTTTTTGATCAGCCCACAGCTCTCCCTCAAGCATTTAGTACCATGAATCTTCAAGATCCAGGGAATACAGATTGGTACATGGATACTGGGGCAACTGCTCACCTCCACCACGACTCAGGTATTCTAAAATCTGTTAGAAATAATTGCAATAATATTTCAGTTGTAGTTGGTGATGGATTTGTCTTCCCATTACTCATGTTGGTAGCACTTTCCTTAGTCAACATCCTTTTCGTACATTATTTCTTAAAAATGTCCTTATTACTCCTCAAGTTATTAAAAATCTTATCTCTGTTCGTCAATTTACCCGTGACAATAAATGTTCTATTGGATTTGACGAATTTGGTTTTTCTGTGAAGGACTACCTCACCAATCAAATTCTCATCCGATGTGACAGCACGGGCGACCTTTATCCTTTTACCAACCCACTCCATCAAGTTTTTTTGGCTGCAAGTTCATCCACTTGGCCTCATTGACTTGGTCATCCTAGATCCCAAGTCTTCAAGCATTTATTATCAAAAAAATTCATCTCATGTAATAAAAAGACCCTAATGTCTTATGTCATGCTTGTCAACTGCGCAAACATGTCCGTTTATTGTTTGATTTGTCGCAAACTAATGTTAGCTCTCCTTTTCAAGTTATACATTCTGATGTTTGGACTTCTCCTTTACTAAGCCAAAGTGGAATCAAATATTATGTCATTTTTCTCGATCAATATTCTCACTTTGTTTGGGTATATCCATTACGAAAAAATCTGATGTTTTTTCTAAGTTTCTTCACTTCCGTGCATATGTCACCAACCAATTCAAAATCGATATTCAAATTTTCCAATGTGACAATGGCAAAGAATTTGATAACATCCAATTTCAGCATCTATGTGCCTCCAATGGTATACACATGCATTTTTCCTATCCATACACATCTCAACAAAATGGAAAATCAGAACGCATGCTTCGTACTATAAACAATACTATTTGAACCCTCTTATTCCAAGCCCATCTTCCACCCACATATTGGGTTGAAGCTCTTCATATGCCCACCCATCTCCTCAATATTCTTCCATCTACCACTCTCCAACACGACACCCCTTTTCACAAACTCTTTAACGAACTCCCACCCTACAGACACCTTCGTGTTTTCGGTTCTCTTAGCTACCCCCATCTCAACACTATTACCAAATTGGAACCCCGTTCCATTCCTTGCATCTTCCTTGGATACCCATCTAATCACAAAGGATATCGTTGCCTTAACCTCCATACAAAATATCATTTCCCATCATGTTACCTTTGATGAATCCATCTTTTCATTCGGTTCCTTAACTCCAAATAAGGCTCTCGATTATGACTTCCTTAACATCGAAAATCACAGAAACTACTTCAATGATCCAACTCGTCTACCTCAACCCTCTCCTATGATTCCTGAAACTAACCCTACAACTCATACCATCGCCATTCCCATTGTCAGCAGCAACCCTGACACTCCTCCCATTCCCCCTGTTGCTGCCGATAACCCTTCTTCCTCTCACTCTTCCACCTCCGAACCATCCACCTTTCAGTCAAATTAACCTCCTTCAGCCCCTACTCATTCTCTAAATACTCATCCTCTTCCTTCTACCTCATCTCACACTCATCATATGGAGACTCGTGCTCATCACAACATCTTCAAACCCATTGATAAATTAAATCTTCACACTGATCTCTCCTCTTCACCTCTTCCCAAAAACTACTCTCAAGTCTTTCTTGATCCTAATTGGTTTCGTGCTATGACTGAAGAATTTAATGTTCTTATTTCTAATCGGACTTAGATACTTGTACCTCGACCCCCAACTGCTAATGTTGTTAATTGTATTTGGTTGTCTAAAAAGAAACATAATGCATATGGATCATTAGCTGTTAGCATGAGGAGACATGGGAAAATAATTTACTAACATTTTAATTTTATTGGTTAACATTCCAATTTAAGATTAAATATTTATCAAAGGTATATATTTTTATTTTATCCCCTAACTTCTTTTACGTGAAAGCAAAAAAAATATTTTTTTATGAAAATGTAAAAATATGTTTCCGTATCTATTTTACATAAAGTATTTATTTTAAAATATATTTTTATATAATATATTACTACATTGCTATGATTCTAAAACATATTTTCATGTTTTCATAAAAAAAATTCTTTCACGTAATTTTTTTTACGTGTTTATTTTATGTAAAATATGTTTTTTTTATGTAATTAAAAACGACATTTCCGTATAATACGTTATTACGTTGTTATAACAATAAAATATATTGTTATGTTATGTTAATGTTTTTAGTAAATTTATAACAAAACGACAAGTATTAAATAAACTAAATATGTCAACATAACGTAAAAGTACAATCCCTGCTGATATGACCAGTCCGGCCGCGCTTAAAGTAGCCTGGACAACCAACCATCCACGCCCCCTCGTGCATCTTGCCACAGTGGCTGCGGCCATACTGGCTATGACTGAAGAATTTAATGTTCTTATTTCTAATCGGACTTGGATACTTGTGCCTCGGCCCCCAACTGCTAATGTTGTTAATTGTATTTGGTTGTCTAAAAAGAAACATAATGCAGATAGATCATTAGCTGTTAGCATGAGGAGACATGGGAAAATAATTTACTAACATTTTAATTTTATTGGTTAACATTCCAATTTAAGGTTGAATATTTATCAAAGGTATATATTTTTATTTTATCCCCTAACTTCTTTTACGTGAAAGCAAAAAAAATATTTTTTTATGAAAATGTAAAAATATGTTTCCATATCTATTTTACATAAAGTATTCATTTTAAAATATATTTTTATATAATATATTATTACATTGCTATGATTCTAAAACATATTTTCATGTTTTCATAAAAAAAATTCTTTCACGTAATTTTTTTTACGTGTTTATTTTATGTAAAATATGTTTTTTTTTATGTAATTAAAAACGACATTTCCGTATAATACGTTATTACGTTGTTATAACAATAAAATATATTGTTATGTTATGTTAATGTTTTTAGTAAATTTATAACAAAACGACAAGTATTAAATAAACTAAAGATGTCAACATAACGTAAAAGTACAATCCCTGCTGATATGACCAGTCCGGCCGCGCTTAAAGCAGCCTGAACAACCAACCATCCACGCCCCCTCGTGCATCTTGCCACACTTGTCACAGTGGCTGCGACCATACTAGCTCCTCAATCTGGGATCCGATACCTTGGGGCTCTTGCCCAAACTCCCTGTTTGAACCCCGTCTGGTTTCCTCTTCCTCTCCATCTCCAAATCTAGCTCCCTCTCCCGAGCCCTCACTATCATATCCTCCAAGATCTTGTAGCTGGATCGGTTAACAAACTGCTAGATATCACTCCTCAGTATCTCATGGTACCAGACATTTTTCATCTCCTCGTCTGCCACATACTGCGGA